AAGCTTCCAACCCTTGCACCACGTTGACGTTGCCCTGCCAGATGGCCCAGTGGCCTGGCCTGGCTGAAGCCGCCCTTTCTCCAAGGTATTTGGCCAATCGCTTCTCAAGGCTCCGGCCACAACTGGCTCGCCAGGTCTCCGAGAGGTGGCCAGGCCAGGCCAGGCCAGCTGGCTGCGGTGGGAGTTGCAGCCTTTCACGGCAACCTCACTTGGACCCCTGGAGCAACATGGAGGGCCAGGGACACCCGACGCCTTGAACGGGCACCCCCACTCCGTGCAAAGCCCTCGGTGGGTGGAACAATTGCATTCTGCTGGTGAGCAGCCAGGGATGGGAGAGAACGGGAAGGAAACGGAACAGGCCACCACCTCTGCAAACGCTCCCAAGTTGAGGATTATAGATTAGGCTATCAGCGATTTGCATATCAGAATTTTAAAGCAGCCAAGACCCCTCCAGCGAACAAGGTCACTGCAAAGATTAAAAAGCGCGCTGGGGGGGGGGCGGAATTCTCTCTCCACTTTCCTCTCCTTTCCTTGACTTTCTCGTTTCACTCAACACACTTCATGGCACTGACAGAAACGTGATGGAGAGTCATCCTTGTTTCACACACACACACATACACACACACACGTCCACACCCCAGGGGTCCACACCATCCCTCCCGTGCTGGAGGACGGCAGGACCGAGCACCCTCTTGTGCTTCAACTGGGACAACGGGGCACGGCAAGGAAGGCACCCACACACACACGGCCACACCCCAGGGGTCCACACCATCCCTCCCGTGCTGGAGGACGGCCGGACCGAGCACCCTCTTGTGCTTCAGCTGGGACAACGGGGCACAGCAAGGAAGGAGGCAGGGCGAGCCAACTCCACCCCCACGACGTCCTCCACACCATCCCTCCCGTGCTGGAGGACGGCCGGACCGAGCACCCTCTTGTGCTTCAGCTGGGACAACGGGGCACAGCAAGGAAGGAGGCAGGGCGAGCCAACTCCACCCCCACGACGTCCT